TAAAGACTCCCCCCCCCCACCCACCCAACTTACTACACCCGTGTGAAATAGACCTTCCAAAGAGCTGGACAACATGGGAAGGTGCGACCGCAAGAAGGATGCGCGCGGGCGGGGCATGAAGGTGTTAGGACTTGGCCACAACAGGAACACAAGCATCGCCACAGTGCAACCCAGAGCCGACCTCCGATGCTTAGTAAACCGGCGGCGGCCTATGCGTCCATCTCTAATCCCTTGCAGTTCAGTATCGGCGGGCCTCCCTGGGGGCGGAAGTCCCACGGCCCGCGCGTGAAGAGGCCACTACTCACCTCCCGCCCGAGGCGGCGCCGAGGCTTCGTCTCCCCTGCGCACTCAGCGTCTCCCAGCCGGGGGGGGTTTCTGTCGCATCAATAAAACTGGGCCAGTAATGCCCGGCCTAGAGACCGCCGTCGCTGCCACGCTCGCTTCTCGCCCGCTCTTTATTTGCTGGTTCGTTGCGCTACAAAATGGCGGCGAAGAAGGAAATGAGGAGCCGCCTCGCCCCTTCCTTGCCTCCCGCCTCCTCCAAGCGAGAAGGCAACAGTCGCGCGCAGCCAACCGCTGCCGCTCGCTCAACCAGACTCCCCCCCCCCTCCCTACGCTCTAACCCCACCCTCGGCCGAGCGCGCGCTTCCTTCTTCCCTCCACACACTTACCGGCCCAGCCAGCGAGTAACTGCCTCTGCAGTGACAGCAAAAGTGCTTGCTCGGTGCCGGGACTACTTTCTAGGACGACTTTTCAACACCCCTCCCCGTGTATTCCGCCCGTGGGTGAAGTGTTTTCCCCCCGCCGTGAAAAAAACCCGTAATTTACACGCGGAGAAAAAAAAGGGGCAACAAAAATTTCAGCATGACAGCTGCATGGGAATGAAGGCAGGGATCTAAAATTCCCGAGATACCCAAATCCCGCGTCTGCCGAGGTACGCAGCCGCGAAGTATTATGGGAAGGAGGGAATGGCGCAAGGATTTGGGATCTTATTTTCTAACCACCTGCAGGAGTGAGGCAAAACTGAGCGGAAGGAGACTAGATAGGATAGGATATTGAGGAGATCGAAAGACTAAAGCTTGTTGTGTTCGAGCGGCTGCTCTGAATTCTCTATTGGTTTAACGTACAGGAGTTAATTAAATTGCTGTATCTGTTTTTATCCCAGGTTTCATTTTCGCACCCAATGATTACAATCAATGGATGTGGACAAGTACAACTGCATAACGTGGACATGTGTTAAGTAGCAGGTGGATTGTATTAGGCGTCCAATCCTAATCATATGTATTCTAAAGTAGATAATATAAAAATCAGTGCGGTTCTAAAGTAGATAATATAAAAATCAGTGTGGTTTGCTTATAAATAAATATTCCTGGGACTGCAAGCAGGCTAGGTAGCCTTAAGTAAATTAAATTTGTCTGCCCAGTCTAGTGAGTTTTACAGGATTGAAGAGTGAAGGAAAAATTGTGAAATATTATCTTCCCAAAAGGCAATTAAAAAACAACCTTAGAACAATTATTACGAGTTGTTGTTGTTCAGTCGCACAGTCGAGTCCGACTCTTCGCGACCCCATGGACCAGCTCCCGCCAGGCCCTCCTGTCTTCCGCTGTCCTCTGAAGTTGGCTTAGTATTCTTAGATGCGGAGAAAGCGTTTGGGTAAACTGGTCCTTTTTGAAGCATAAATTAGAAACATGGGAATGTGGAGAAAATTTTGCAAACAGGTTGTCGGCTATATATAAAGAACAGTGGGCGAAAATAATCATAAACGGTGAACTATCGCAAAATATTTCAATACAGAAAGGAACCAGACAGGACTGTCCCTCTCACCCCTACTCTTCATCTTTGGGTTAGAATCCCTAAACAACATGATTAGAGAAAATACAAGTATTAGAGGACTTAAAATAAAAGAGGAACAATATAAACTCCAAGCTTTTGCCGATGACCTGGTATTCATCGTGGAAGAGCCTATATCATCAATAACACATCTAATGAACCAAATTCACAAATATGGTAGTTTAGCGGGTCTAAAAATAAATCTGAAGAAAACCAAAATTATTTTTAAAAATTGCTCTAAGGAAGAAATAAACAAACTTCAAATAGATACCAAGATGGAGGTAACAAACAAAGTGAAATATCTAGGCATTAATCTGACAAATAACAACTCCCAACTATACGAAAATAACTAAACCTTTAATAGAAGAAATTAAGAAAGACTTGAAGAGATGGCAGGACCTTCACATCTCAATGATGGGTAGAACTGCCACTATAAAATGAACATCCTACCAAGATTCTTGTTCCTAGCGCAAACAATCCCGATATTAAAAACTTTAAAATATGTGAAGAGATAGAAAAAATTACAAGGAGATTCATATGGCAAGCAAAGAGAGCTCGCATTAGGTTAAAATTGCTACACGACAAAAAAGAAAGAGGAGGCCTGGGAATACCAAACTGGAAATTATATTATAGGGCAGCAGCAATGGGATGGATTTGGGACTGGATACTTTTAGAGGACAAAAGAACTCTAAAACTGGAGGGCTACGATCTACACATGGGCTGGCATGCCTATGTGTGGTACGATGATGAGAAAAGGCAAAAACACTTTCATAAACACATTCTGAGAGACTCATTGATAAGAATATGGAGAATGGTAAAATAAAAAATTTATGATAAAATACCAAGATGGGTATGTCCGTTGGAAGCCTTTATAATGCCAAATCTAATGACGGAAGAAAAAACTGTCAGTTATGAAACATTACTCACAAAGGAAAATGAATTGAAAGATTTTGGATCCTTGCAAGCATTGAATATTAACCTTTCAAGTTGGGAGAAAATCCAATTAAAATCGAGATTTGCCAAAGATGAAACAAGAGGTTTTGCAAAAACAAACACAAATCTAGATAAAATTTGGTTGTCCTCAGCAGACAAAATGATACAAAAAATATACAATTATTTACTAGATGACGATATGCAAATAGAAAAAATAAAACCATGCATGAAGATATGGGCAAATGATATAGGAAATAATATAGGTCCAGAGAAGTGGGCAAAAATGTGGAACTCAACAAAACTACTAAGAGCCACATCATACAAAGAAAATATCTTCAAAATGTTCCACAGGTGGCATTGGACGCCGGACAAAACATTAAAATGCTACAAGAACGTGTCAGGGAACTGTTGGAGATGTGAAAGAAATGTTGGTTCCTACTATCACATCTGGTGGAGATGCGAAAAAGTAGCAAAATTTTGGGGAAAAATAAAACAACTCATTCTAGAAATAGCAGAAATAGAATTACCACTGAACCCAGAAGTATACTTACTAAACATGTTGCCTGATAGTATAAACCATAACGACGCACGTTTGATACTCTATATTCTTACAAGCGCTAGAATAGCTATAGCAAAATGTTGGAAATCTGATAAATTACCAGATAGAGAAGAATTAATTATAAAAATCATGGACATAAAAGAAATGGACAAAATAAATACGTTACTGGCGGGAAAATTTGACAGTGTGTTTAAGAAAAGATGGCAGAAACTAGACAGGTGGTTAGAAATATATGGATTAGATGCTCCAAAAATATTGTAAAATTAACATGTCTATTTTGCATACGATGTAAAAAATTAAAATTAAAATAAAATACTTTAAAAAAATATTATGTATCAATTAAACCTGCCAGTCTGGTCCAGGATTGCTTAAAAACACACTTTCGTGTAATGGTGACTCAACATTAACAATTTGAGATATGCAGATGACACCACATTACTGGCAGAAAATAGTGAAGACTTGAAATGACTACTCATGTAGGTTAAAGCAAAAAGTGTCAGAGCAGGATTACAGCTGAACATCAAGACTATAAAAATAATTACTGGGTGTGAGGTTCTTGCTATTTGGGGAAACGGTTTTACCTTTAAACATTCTCTGGGTATATAAACTTGGTAATATTCTGCTGCCACTAGGAATTAAAAATTCCAGAACTCTCTCTTTTGGTAGAATGACCTAGGGTCTGGGCACTTAGAGGACTATGTGGCCTGAGGAAGTACTGTACTGTACTGATTTCTGGGATAACTTTAAACAAAAAATTGATTAATAAAGAATAGGTTTCTGGTTATTTTGAACAGTTGCTGAAGAAAGGAACTTGTAAATATAACTGGTAAAGCTTGGTGCTACAAACAGTCTCTCAAACTCCAAGCTCCACTCTGACAGGCTTATACACTCAGTATAATCTCTCAGATATATATATATATATA